ATAAAAACATTGATTTGTTTCTCTGGTAGAGGTCTTATCAACTTATTGATGCAGCTACAATAGACTAATCAATTAATCAGCTGATGATAACATTTATATAGTGTCAGGAAACTTTAAAGTATGATTTTAACTTTGAAATCTAAGTGTTTATTACTCATCTTTAACAGCTGAATTAAAATTGAATGATACAGTCCTCCGAATTTACTCCCCCAGTGAAATGTACTCTGACGACTCTTCTTACTTACACCAGAACTGATTTGTCATATTCTTTTATATACATCTGTTTTTTTAAGTTCAAATTTACTTTCCCTTAAAATATCCTCACAGTGTCACTGCATTATATCTTTTCTTTTTTTTTTTTTAAATATATATTTGTAAGTATTCCGGTCAGGGTGCTTGTGTTACACTCCAGACTTGTTGCACCTCTAGGTCCTGGTGATGGCATCTCTTTACCCTACTCATGTTACATCTATGAATGTAGTTATCTGAGGGGCCCTCCGGGGGGACAGCATGTGCTTTGAGAATCCACAACATCCCCCCAGTCAGTCAAGTTGCCTTTGGACTCGACATAATTATGACCACAGCGTCTTGGCTCACCTACTGTACTGTGTGTTTGTTGGTGTGACAGACTAACCTTTTTAAATATGTGTCAGAGTCTTCGTGAGAGTCTCCCGCTCTGTTCTGTCCTTTTCAACGTTGCCTGAATGCTCGTAGATGTGTTTGTCTCGTTCGGTGTTTTTGTCTGTGTGTCGCTCTGTGTTTGCGCGTTGTTGTCTGTGCTCCCTGGTCTGATTGCACCGGTGTCTGACAGCCCCTGTCCTGTACTTACACAGCATAAGCTGAAATCTTCGCAGAGGGACAAGGTACGGCAGTTCATGTCCTTCACACAGGCTGGGGAGAAGACAGCTGTGTACTGCCTCACGCAGAATGACTGGAAACTAGAAGTGGCGACCGACAACTACTTTCAGAACCCAGATCTGTACTGTAAGGAATCCATGAAAACCTCAGTGGACCGGAAAAAGCTGGAGCAGCTCTACAATCGCTATAAAGGTAAGCAGGATAATTTAGGAGTATTTGTTTTATACTGTGATATGTTTACTTGAATAGAGCTGTTCCAAAAATAGTTATATTGAACTTTTTTCACAACATGTTTGCACAAATGTGTTATATATATTTTTTTTCCTGGTAGATCCACAGGATGAGAATAAGATTGGTATTGACGGGATCCAGCAGTTTTGTGACGACCTCACACTGGATCCAGCCAGCATCACCGTGCTGGTCGTTGCATGGAAGTTTCGTGCTGCCACTCAGTGCGAGTTCTCCAAGAAGGAGTTTGTGGATGGAATGACGGAGCTGGGGTGAGTGTTGACATCAACAGCGTGTGACATGCAACAGAGTGGGACATAAACACTGTGGCACTGCATTGTCGATCTCTTAGTGTGGCTCTCGGAAGGGAAGGCTGTCTATATATAGACTCACTCAACCACGGCTTGAGTATTCTGTGTCTTCATGGAATTACTCAATAGAGTGCGGCTTGTTTTGACTTTTGAGGTTCATGTGTCACAGTTTACTTCGGTATAAAGGCCGTCATGGTCAGGTTGTTCATGTATGATCATTCAGAGGTTGTTGCTCATGTTGTCTTCTGTTTTCAGGTGTGACAGCCCAGAAAAACTGAAGGCCATGTTGCCAAGATTAGAGCAGGAGCTAAAAGATACTGGAAAGTTCAAGGACTTCTACCAGTTCACCTTTAATTTTGCCAAAAATCCTGGACAGAAGGGTTTAGGTAAAGAGTGATTATAATAACATCATCTTGCTCAGTTATATTATTGATTTTTAAGAGTTCTTCTTCTTTGTGTGTGCAGACTTGGAGATGGCTGTAGCCTACTGGAACCTGGTTCTCTCAGGACGATTTAAGTTCCTCGATCTTTGGAATAGATTTCTTCTGGTGAGTCAAAGTGAGCTCATGGATGTGTAGAGCTGGTAATCAGCCATTCGCATTAAATGCCATTTCTTTGTCAGTGTAAATGTAAAAGTTCAGTCTTTGTATTAGTCATGGCTGGACACTGACTTAGCTTTTCTTGCCACAACAATCCCTGACCATTATTATTGTGTACGAAGGTTACTTTTTATTCAGAGCTAAAACACTCCATGCAGAGACTTTTTAAGTTTAAAAATGAAAAAAGATATTTGTAAAAGAGTGGAATCAGCCAGTCACACCAGATGTTTGATAAGATTTAAAACCTGCACTGCATTATAATTTAAATGACTGTCAAAATGTCCTGCTTATAGAGAAACTGTGTGTGTGAAACTCTGCGTGCGAGTCTGTTCATCAGCACTTGTCCTCTATAGGAACACCATAAACGATCCATCCCGAAGGACACGTGGAACCTATTGTTGGACTTCGGTAACATGATTGCAGATGATATGTCAAATTATGATGAGGAAGGTGAGTTTGATTTGACACAATGGATGAAGAATTCAGATTAATAACTGCTCCGTCACTGTGACACTAATCATATGTTGTTTTCTTTCTCAGGAGCGTGGCCAGTTCTTATAGATGATTTTGTGGAATTCGCTCGACCGATTGTAACAGGAACAAAACGTAAAACTCTCTAAATCCAACCACAACTCTGGACAGCCAGAACGTTGTTTCTTTTACAGTGACTTCATAGTTTTTTTTAAGACTTGTACAAAAAAAGTGAAAATTGTAGACTTCAGAGAGAAAACAGAAGCACTTGAAACTGTCAGGAAACCACCTTTCAGGGAGCTGAGTAAAAAACTGGGAACAACTGTCCTCATGAGTCTGAGGCGTCATACGGACGGTGCCGGATTCACCTCTCGTCTCTCCCGTTGGATTCTCAGTATCCTGGATGCCCCTCTGCTCTGCTCCAGGAGGAGCGATAGCTGTCAGGCCGCAGCCCTGTCAGTGAGGACGGACACAGCCCTGAGAGGACGGTTACTGGCTGTGTGCACTCTGAAAGGACTGGAGAGGAGAATGCAGTGTGTTTTAAGATTCTTTCTAGTCAGCTTTGTTTTGTTATATGAAGCTCTGAGTGACTGTGCAAAGTTCCAATGTCTTAGTCTAACTTCGGGACATCGTGCTCACGACACCAGCACCAACAGAACTGTTGCAGTTTTTACTGTACATACTGTATCTATTGGGACAGTTTACAAAGAGAGCTATATGAAGAATAATATAAATATGTTGAATTTATAAATGCAAAAGATGATTTCTTTTATGTACAGGAAATGCTAAGATCTCTAACGGGATGCCTCAATATTGTGGATGATTTGCTGTCGGTTTAAATGTTCGGTGGATCTGTCAAATCATGGAGTTGTGAGCTTCTCATTGAAAGCATGTTGAACACGTTTGCTACATTTTGGGCTGGTTTCACAAATAAACGAAAGTAAAGACAATGCTTTAATTTAGATAACTGATATTGGTTGGTGGTATTGATTTGAATGAATAATCGCAGTTGGGAGTGTGTCTTAAATCCTAAATGTAATCAGTCCTATCCACAGTATTCATGATTTATTTTAATTTCAAAAGAGAATTTCTTTGCAAAAGTTCAAGAAAGTGTTTTGTCATTTCATCAGTTGATCGGTCTGAGAAATCTATTCTGCTGCAGTTAAGACAAATTTACAGTTAAGACACTTACAGGCCCTTAGGATTGCATGGCACATATCTGTATGTTATGGCAGCGCAGAGCCCTTTCTTCTGAAGCCGGGACACTAAAGAGGGCAACAGGACAATAAAGTAAGCCTTAAGAATAAAATCCTGTCTGTTCAATATTCATGTTTCTGTTCAAGCCCATCTGTTCAGTGTTACTGAAGGTAGTGAAAACAGAAATTATTGTTGATACATCCTGTAAGTAGCCTAAGTATATTGTTCATTTAAGAAAGAATAAAGCATGAGTTTTTCCATAATCATAAATGTATTTAGCTCTTTTATTGTTAATACATACAGTACAACTGATTAGACAAGAATGTGTTTCATAAAGCAGTTAAGTATGATGGCAATGATAAGGTGACATACTTTGTTTGGTTGGGATTCTGACATGGCTCAGTTCAAAATGCACTTGAAAAGTCGAATAGGACTCAGCAGAGTTCATACCTCCACTCAGGTACAACAGTCCCCTTAAATCAAGCCTTAGCAAATTTCACACATCGGTTCCCTAAATGTGATGATTTCTTTTCCATCTAAATGATTCCCTGGGAAATTGTTAAAATGTCTAAAAAAAACAAACCTTTTGCAATGTTAAAGAAAGTGGGGAAAAATTGCTGTAACTGCCCCTTAGTCTGGATCCACACTCAAATTCAATGGGTTCTTTCTTGGTCCATGTCACATCCGTCCGCAAGTTTTCGTGGAAATCTGTTTTGTAGTTTTTGTGTAACCCTTTTGAAAACCGAACAACCTCTTTGGTTCTGATAATAATACAATTGATGATGGTTTTATTCCAATTAGCTGAATTTGGACCAAACTATGCCCTAAATCATAATGTTGAAGAAATTGAAAAGAAATTCCTGTGTCAAAACAAAAATGTAAAGGTTCAATGTGTAGAATTTAGAGACAACTAGTGGTGAAGTTTCATGTTGCAGCTGAATACCCCTCACCCCACCCTCTCCTTCCAAAAGAGGAACCTGTGGTAAAAACTCAAAAGGTGTTTAGTTTGTCCAGTCTGGGCTACTGTAAAAAACATGGCAGCCTCCGTAGAGAGGACCTGCTCTCAATGAAAATATAAAGGGCCCATTCAAGGGTAAAGAAAATAATTCCTACAATTTAAGTGAAAGCATGATTATTATTATAATCAATAGATCCATTTCACCTAATCTTACACACTGAACCTTTAAAGGATTCTTTTCTGACCTGTAACGCAGCCTTACATTAAAGTTTTGTGGTAATCTGTCCAGTAGGTTTTGCTTAATCTTCTTTACAAACCTCCAAACAAAGGGACAGGGTGAAAACATAACCTCCTTGGCTGAGGTAAAAATCATGAAATTGCTGATACCATCATTAACACCACTTTAATCAGAACTACTACTATTCATCATTATGGTCTGTGACATAAGACCCAACTCTTCTGATTCTCCTCCTTCAGGTGTTTTGTATGCAAATCCATCAGGTACCTGTGGCGGTCACCTGGGCGTTTCCTAACCCGGCCCCTCCTCTCAGAGAGCTGTAAGATGAGACATTGGAAACTCAGGTCGCTTTGTTATTTACCTTGACAGCAGCCAGTGGTAAAAATGAAATAACCTCCACTGTGCTGGTTGTTTATAGCCTCGGTGAACTTCTGTACCTGCAGCACGATGGAGAGGGAAACTCAAGGAAACGCTGCTCAGCCTCTAACATGTAGTAATGGCAGTGAGAGGTAAGACTCTATTTTTATGGTTGATTAATTCCTATTGCTTCCTTCCTTCCTTCCTTTCCTGATTTACTTTTTACGTAACAAACTCCTACACCTTCTTCCAAACTTATCAGAAATATAGTTCTGTATTGTTTAGAATTTTTCTCCCTGCTCCCATAATCCCACTTGACAGGTCTGTACAGCAGCTTCCAGGATTATCAGAAATATCACAGCTTTGTGTTGTTATGTGGAACAAGCTTGAATTTAGCTCCTTGCTATAATCCCACTTGAAAGTAATTTAAAACTCACTCGTCATCCATGTTGGGCATTTGATCTCCCCGCTGCAGAAACCCTACCCAGCTGTAGCTGTTGTAGTGTCTGTCACCAGGAGAGAAAGAAAGGAGAGGGAAGGAGGGGTGGGGGAGGAAGGTGACCCCTACTGTCTTCATAGTATTTCAGTTTTGCTCGTGGATTTGCCCCCTGCAGGATTGACCCCTACGGCTTTGAGAGACATCATGATTTTGAATCCTACAAGGAGATGATGGATGAGTACGTCGCGGTTCTCAACAGAAGATCCATGAGATGGTCCAAGCTCCTTCAAGAGAAGCCTCAGGTGGAGAAGAACCTGACAGGTACGAACACATGTTCAAACACACCACTGTTTAGTTGTGGTGTACTTCTGCCGCTCTGTGGTTGTGTGATGGGATTATAAAATGTGTTTTGGAAGTGAAGAGGTACGTGCGGAAAGGAGTTCCCAACGAGCACCGGGCCAGGATCTGGATGGCGGCAAGTGGTGCCCAGGAACAACTGGAGAGTAACCCGGGTCATTACCAGTCCCTGCTGGCCACGGAGCACGACACCAAGCTGAAGGACACCATTCAAACGGGTGAGACACAACTGTTATTGCAACCTTCTATACAAACAAACATACACAACTCACTCTTAAACACTAAGTCTAGATAGTTAGTAAATAGTTTTGTTAGCTTCATATTTGCATTCTGGCTTTGGCCAATAAATTGTATCATTTGTATTTGCGATGATCTCGACTGTTCATTGAATCGTTTCGGTTTATTTTCATTTATTTGCTTTTCTGTTTATTGTTTCTATCTATTGTTTAAATCGATGTTAAAATGTCTGGATGCACCTTTGGTGGTAAACGGTTGTCTCTGTTTCAATAAAACATTCGATCACAAATGAATTGGTAAATATGTGTTTTGTTCTTAACAGATATTAACAGGACCTTTCCGAACAACGTCCTCTTTCAGAGCAAAGCTGAGCCCGGCCTGCAGAGGGCGCTGTACAATGTGCTGCTGGCCTATGGACACCATAATAAAGCAGTGGGATACTGTCAGGTGAGGAAAGTGTCTGTTTACATAAAGAACAGGACTGACTGTTTACTGTAGTCACAGCTTTGAGCTCAAGATGCATCGTGAGAACTGAATCAATAAAGACAGTGTGACTTTTGTTACTCATAAAAGTGACATAACTGTTTGTGACACATTGTCTAACAAACTGTCTCTAAAAACAAAGAGTAGTTTGTCTTATGAATGTCTGTTTATTTCAGGGCATGAACTTCATTGTAGGCTACCTCATCATCATCACCAAAGATGAAGAGAAATCCTTCTGGCTCATGGACGCACTGTTGGGCAGAATACTTCCAGGTTGAGCATTTTCTTTATTCCTCATACACACAATTAATGTCCCTGCAAAACCTCCTCTGATCCATTCAATACCTAGAGATCTGTTCAGGTTATAAATCCACAACAGAGACAGGAAAGTTTGGGAGAAAGAAGGAATACACATTAGCAAAGGTCCAAGGACACATCTGACCCGAGCTGGTGCAGAAGAAGAACTCGGCCTAAATGGTTCACGCTTAACCAGGCAAGACACAGGTGCACCAATAACTGGTGATTAAGTCAGTGAAGCTACAGCATTTTTAATAGTGACAATATTCCATCCAATATGTCATCTGCATAATGAAGATCATTATGAGCATTTCCTCTGATCCATATATGTTAGTGTAGAAAACTAAATATTAGTGGACCCAGGTTTGAGCCTTGTGGCACTCCACTTTGAACCTTCATGCAATAAAAACAAATCTGAAACATTTAGACCTGAGCTAAGAGATGTGTTCGAATGGCCAAACAACAAGCTTGAAAATAATGCAGCTCATCTAACTGTGGGGTTTTATAGATTACTACAGTCCAGCCATGTTGGGGCTGAAGACTGACCAGGAGGTTCTTGAGGAGCTGGTGAAGACTAAGGCCCCTGCAGTCGGACAGCTCATGGCGCAGTATCCTGGCATATGGACCCTGGTTGTGTCACGCTGGTTCATCTGCCTCTACATTGACATCCTCCCAATAGAGGTGAGAAAAAACGTCTGACGCTGTGAGAATCTTACAGTCATGTTGAAGCAGGTCAGTCAACAAACATCTCGCCTGTTTCTTGTACTCGCAGACAGTTCTACGGATCTGGGACTGTCTTTTCTATGAAGGCTCTAAGGTTCTTTTCCGTGTCGCTCTGACACTCATCACTCACCACCAGCCAGAGATCCTGAGAGCGCGCTGTCTGTCTGACGTGTGTGAGTGCTTCAAACAGATCACCTGTGGAGCGTTCACACTGGACTGCCACACCTTCATGCAGGTGAGATTAGCAGTAACACGGGTCTTTAAAAAAAGTTTTTGTTTACTTGCTCCTTTGTGTCCATCTTTCCACCACTGACAAACTTCAGAGGAGAAAATCACCTGAGTAAAGTACGTTGAGACTGCAGCTAATAGTTTATTTATTTTTGATAATCTGCTGAATATATCATTCATTGATCATTTGTTGTATAAAATGTCATGAAACAGAAAATAATATCTGTCACATGTTTCTGAACCCCAAGGTAAAAAGTCTTGTTTCCTCCAGATATTCTTCTAAACTTAAATCATTTCAATTTATTATTGAATCTTCCCAGTTAAGACATATTAGTCAACTGGTGACAGCTGTTAAGTGGTTTGTAATTTCATCGCTTAACTGCTGAGACATTTTAAAAAGAAGGAAATGTTCTTCATGACAATCAACAGAAGTGAAGATGGAAAATCTGGTCTAGGAAATATTTTGACTTAATTTCAGTGAGTGACTTTGTGCAGCGGAGTATATATATATATATATATATATATATATATATATATATATATCAGTGTATATTCCAAAAATACTTAACGGAAGAAGTGATGCAGTTGTAGCATTTACAAAAACGTCTGATAGTTTGGGGAAATGAAAGGTCCCTCCTCATCCATCTCTCAAACTGTCTATCTACAGAAAATATTTACCGAACCCGGAAGTCTCTCGATGGCAACTATTGAGAAACTGAGAGAGAAATGCAGACAACAAATCCTCGAGGAATCGAGACAACCGTAAAGTTTTGGATCCACCGATGGTCTGTCAGGAACTTTGTACTTATTTGAATCACATACCAGTGATCATACTGTCGGCTTTAGATATATTGAACTCTGATCCAGAAGACTGGATATCTGGAGAATGTGCTGAAGCAACATTTTGAACCTTGTGTTTACTGGCAGGTTCAGTCCTCTGAATATTTTTACAGCAATAGATACTTCTACTACTACACCTGATGCTTTATGGTATTGCAATCACTCACAGAAATGCTAGTATTTGTTTTTATTATTGTGGAGGGTTAAAATTGTTAAGAGATCACATCTAGTTTAATGCTCTTGAAATGAAAAGTTAAGGATTTGGTGTGGTGCTGTCCACATTTACAGAACAGTTTTTCATGTTTTATTGTAAGCAAGAACACGTTTCCTTATTTCCTAATTGTCCTCTAAAAGTCCACTTTGTCTAACCAAACAAAGGTTGGACAAAGTGGAAATGTTAGCGTAACATGATCATCTTAAACAACAGGTTATTCAACTGTTCCAAACCTGTGGCTGAAGAATACAACATTTCTAATCCACTTGGACCTTTGAGGAACACAATAATTCAAGAACTGTGTAAAAAACTAAAAAGATGTGTTGGTTTCTGAGTCAACTCTGATCAGACAGAAAGCTTGTTACACCGATGGGCAACATTAATTTAACCACAAGTGAGATTCTGATGCCATCTCAAGAGGCATGTACTTCCATTCCTTCTCTCTCTACAACCTAGATCAACTTCAGACACGGTTAATATATTTTAAACTGTGGTGAAAAACATAAGGACGGGGAAACATTTGTAAACTGAGTCTTCACATTCAAAGCTCTGCCTGTAAACTGAACATGACCAACTGTGTGAAATAAATACATTTCAAATGAACAGATTGAAATGTCAACAACTTGCCTAATGTGAGTCTCCATGGAGCCTGAGGTCTGTTATGTCATGTCTACAACTTTCCTCCACCCTGCATTTACAGACACATTATTTGTAAAGAGGAAATATTAGTACAAGCAACGTGTATAGAACTGTTGGTATTAAAAACACTATAGTTCATGGTCCTGCTGGCTTTAGTTCCAGCCAGTAAGAGACTGATTTACACCTCAATGACACAATATTTGATGTTGTTACACTTTATCCAAACCTTAAACTGGGATTTTAGGTGTAGAAAAAAGTAATTTATTCTATTTCTTTACACAACAAAAGTGTAATTTAGGCTTTGATACATAACAAATTGTGAAAATTTCAGAAATTTCACTTCTGAGCACGAACCAGAACGAGGAACAGGTTTGACGGCTGAGTAACTGTACGAAGGCAAAGCAAAGAGTCAAACTGTCATGTTTGTTCACTTTTATTGACCTTTCCTTTAGAAAACGGCTCAAACGAATCCATTAAAACCATATCAAGTCACTACAAGGATATTTAGATGAGGGAGAGAAGAAACAACATAAAAAAACAGAACAAAAAATGGAAATTTCTCATTTTACATCAAACAATGCATATTAATGCTAGTAACAGTACATGGCGATGTGAGACACAAAGAAAATGTCCCAGACATGGCAGCGCATCGTCGATGAGTGAGCAAGTACCTCTGTGAATATTGGCTTTGCATTAATCCCGCCCCTGTTACAGCAGGGAAGGCACTGATGAACACTGACCAGAGCATTTTGGCCGTTTGACCCGTTACATGGGGCCGAGTGTCGGGACTTTAGTGCAACTTCTATCCATTCAGCCACCAAAGTCCCAAGTCGGCCCAAATCCAATTTAAGCAAACAAAACCATCCAGTGGATTTTAACCAAGCAACATTATTACGTCCTTGCATTTATGTCCTGAGCTTTTTCATGCACTAAGCCGTCAGTTCTTCTTAGATTGTTTCAGCAAATCATGGCGGGTCCATTTTGTCTCTGAGGACTCCAAAATATAGACGATCGTAACTTTGGGAAATACGAAATATTCATGTGTGCGCAATAAATATGAAGCTGCAGCATGAAGATGGTCAGTTTAGCTTAGAGCCTGGAAGCAAGGAAGAAAGAAACCATACCGTCCTACCAGCCCCTGATGAGTTGAATGTTGTACAGTGGGGTCCAAAACTTTGACACCAGTGTCCCACTGCGTCTTGTTACATTTGTACAAGTGTAAAGCTGGTAGTTTTGCAGGAAGCTATAAGCCCGATATGTTCACTTTCTAGTGCCTACGTCAAAAGACACAGCTCCCAACCAAGAGATAGTTTTAGCTGGAATAGACAACCACAACTTGTCGATTTTCCCTGTTTCAAGTCTTAATGCTAAACTAAGCAAACCTTCTCCTTGCTGTAGCTTGAGATTTAGTGAATATAAGAGGGTTATAAGTCTTTTCATCTAAATCCTCACAAGTAAGCAAATGATCCCATTTCCCACAAATGCCAAAATACTCCTTCATGAGAAATGAAAAAAAAAAAAGCTTAAAATGCCTTCAACCCTACAAAGCCTGCAGCTGCTTCATCATACAAAATGTGTTGAGTACCTATAAGAAGGAAAGACGTGCGTTTCATCACTAATCCCAGTGGACAAAATGAATTCCTAAATATAACGCAGCCACCCAGGAATCTCCTCACACACACTTCTCATTAGGTTTCCTTGTTTTTAGTGTGTTCCCTAAAATCTGCAAACTAAATGTAGAGTTTCAATAAAAAATGTCAGATCTTTGCTGTCTGAAGTGGATCAAGCCAGAAACATTCCCTTTATAATGACACACCTTGTTTGGGTGAGACCATTAAACACGGTCACCCAGAAATGGATAAGAAAAGCTACAGCAGCGATTCCCTCAAATCCCCCAAAGTTTCCTTTCATAGAAATCATAAATAGCACGACACAAGTTGAGGACTCTCGTGGACCCTCTGATCAACATCCTCGGCTTCTCCCTCACTGCACTACAGTCTCCAAACAACGTCCCTTTTTAATGTAAGAGTGGGTCAGTTCAAAAAGCACATATCAATCTCAAAGTGATGACAGCTAGTGTTACTGATAAGGGCAAAGAACAGCACACACAGAGATGAAGGGTGCAGGGACAGAGGGGCACAATGTGGAGTGTTAAGTCTCATAAAACAGTGGTTAATATCACGGGTGGGGATTATCACTCTCCGGGCCCCGGGGGGAGGGGACGTGAGAGTGACGAGCCACCTCAGATGGTTTGGTAGCCGGCGTGGCTCCTCTTCCTGCCGATGAGGTAAGCCAGGAGCACGATGACGACAAGACCCGCTAAAGCTGCTCCAACTATGATGGGGATCAACATGTCGTCTTCATCCAACTGACATTCCTCAGCTGAGTGAGGCGAGAAGCAAGAAAGTAGTCAATTCATTTTCTCTCATTTTACTAGACAATGACAAAATCATCAAAGTGTTTTTTTAATGATAATGAAAAAACTTTACTCTCGTTCAAGTAAAAATGTTTTACCGGCTCCAAACTGACTTCCAGTCACACCGAATGGCTGCACCTGCACCTGGACAATGTTGATGGACAAAGCCTGGACCACGTTCAGGGTTTGCTTCTCTCGGCACATGTACGAGTAGCCACGGGTTCCTCGCAGGTAGTCCAGACTGTTGTTGCCCACTGAGACGGTGCCTGAAGCAAAGGACAGAACGGAGAGTGAAAAGATGTTTAATGTGAAGACAGATTCTTTTGAAAGAGAAGAAACACATTTTCCATGTTCTCTCATAAATACTCCCACCCATTTATGATTACCTGGAAATATGTCACAATATGAAGAAACCTGTGGCTTCATAATAAAGATGACTTCATCTGTCATTACCATGTTGCTCTTTCCATGAAATACAATAAATCAGTACCAAAGTTTTCTGTGCCATGTTTATTATATTATCATATTGTCTTGCAAAACGGTTACTAACATATTATCTGTTGGACAGTTGCTTATTCATCTGATAGAATGTAGCTTGCATTGACTCGGGGGGGTAAAGCGCACTCACCGTTCATGTCGGGCCAGGCTGCGGACAGAGACACTTCACTCAAGTGGTACTTGTTGGATGTTGTGTTCTGGAAACATAAGACAGTATGACACAAGTCAATGCAGGTTCCTCATCAGTTCCTCGTGCTCGAGCTGCCATCTACTGGCTGTTTCAGGAAGTATGATGAAAGCGAAAGCCTGCTAAACAGAAGGAGAAATGACACATGGTTTTATTCACAGGGCTGTGATGTACAAAGCAGCGAGAGCAGAACTTACCAGGGAGAAGTAAAAGGTGAGGTTGGTTTTCGGTGCATCTGTTGTGAGCCTCAGGGTGGCGCTGTCCGACTCACATGACCCAGAGCTCTTTGTCACGTTGGGCTGAATGTTCTCAACATCCTGCACGGTCTGTAAGCAAAGCATTCAGCATTCAAAAAACTGTGTCTGTGTCTGGATTTGTAGTTCCAAAAGTACTCACAGTGTTTAGATACCTTATTCTGGGACAAAGAGGTGAAGCTGATGTTGAGCTGGAGGCCCATGGATGCCAGCAAACAGGCGGTGCCATTGTTGTTCACCACGTAGTTTCCTCTTTCAGGGCTGCTGGGGTCTTTGTGCGGTGCAGCGGTGGTCGGGGCGACCGTAGGCGGAGCAACGGTAGCAAATCCCTGGTGCAGAGCGACAGCTACAAAATAAATTCAGGTATCAGTCACAGGTTAAATTACAGGTGACGTTAACAAGTAAATCATTATTTGTTAAAGCCACTAAAACACAAGATGATAAACATTCAACCTTCAGGAGAAGTTATGATTGTTTTAAAACAATGAGACAAAATTGATTTTATGTAGTTTTTGAATTTTGTCAACAGACAAATGCATTTAAAAATACATATATATAAAACATAATCTAAATCAATCCCAATATATATTTAAAAACTTGATATTTCACCTTTTTTTTTTTTTTATTCACCCGGGTCTAAATTTTAAAAAACACATAGAGAGAAACATGAACTGGTTCAATAAGGACCGTTTAAAAACAATCTCAGATTCACAAAACCTTTGTTTTACTTATGAAAACACAATTGAGTACAATTCCTCTGTCTTTGTCCATCTAGACCACATCAGACCAGGTCTAGATAAAAAACACATTGCAGAATACTTAGGTTATCCAACCCTTGATTTACCCAGAACTAAACTCTGATTTGTGAAATCTTTATTTTATTTGTCAAAACAAAAAGGTGCAGTTTCTCTGCTTTTATTCATGATTATCAAGACTAGGTCTTAATAACAAACATACACACACACACACACTTTAGACTTGTAAAATCTAAACTTGAGTATCTGTGAGATACTGAACATTGTTTAAAGCCTCAGTTAGAGATTTTCAAAATGTCTTGCGGAACTTGTTCTATTTATGAAAACCTCAAATGGCGATTTCACTTCTTTTTTTTGAAATCATACATCAAGACCAGTTCAAACTGGCTCTGGATAAACACTTCACCTACTTGATGACATTAACGCAGACAAAAACAGATTGATACTGTAATTAAAAAACCTTTCCCTTCCCCTTTCTAGGCCACATCAGATTGTTCAGGTCAGGTCTAAATGAAAAAAGACAAACTAGGCTCAACAAACCCGGACATGAGTAACTGTGAGATACTGAACATTGTTGAAATACTCAGTTTCTGAATTGTGTAAGTTCTTGTAAAACGAGTTTGGCTTCATTTCTTCTCTATCATCCATCTGATTAAATCTGGATCACATGAATCCACACAAACTATACGACACAGCTCCTGATCAATGCTTTGATTTAATCTTTGTTATATTTATTGAGACACATCAAAAATAGGATTTTACAGCATTTTAAGGAAGTCAACACAGGAACATGACAAGCTGGAGAAGAAAAACCTGATAAATCTGGACCACTTTAATCCAGACACTGACTTTTTACAGTTTCTGATTCGCAAAACATTTGTTGTATTATTATTATTGTCTGAGGATCGGTTCACTGAGGGATCATTTCACCTGAGGACCGGGAGCTAACTTCAGCCTGGCCGCTTCATGAGTGACTGAACTCGGCTAAGGCTCCAGGGACCGACTGCTCAGAGAACCGGGCTGACCGGGGACACAGATGTTTAAACCCCTGAGTCAGCTCCATGTTCACTGACACAAACATCACAGTCATGACGGAGCCATCGGTCAGTTGTGGTTGTCTGTGACCTTCGGAGCTGCAAACCGGGGACAACTCACCTAAAATCAACTGTAACGTGACTCCCACGCTCCAGGACTGGACACCGGTCTGCGTCATGGTTCTCCGGCTGCTTCGCCCTCTTCACCGGCTGGTCAGGCGCTCGGTCGCCGGAGCAGGACGCTGCTGCGGGTTAGCTAGGTGACTGGGTGTTATGCTAGCTGGCTAAGCTAACGTTAGCGTGACAACAACCGCGGGGAGGGGAGAAAAACAAAAGTCCGCGGTTCGTTGAGACGACGAAGAGCCGCTGTCGGTGTCTGGAGCCCCCGCTAACGTCCCCGGACACTCGTCTGAACCTCCGGGTGTGAGGCTACAGCCGCGGGAGGTGACTTATCTCTGCGGGATTCAGGAGTTTGTGCGCGGCGGCGGTGGACGAGGCAGAGACGGAACATCTGGGTCATGTGACCGAAGAAGAAACACCCAGAAAGTCACGTGGTCAGCCGCAGCTTGTTTATCTCAACTTATACAAGGGGGGGGGGTATCACCAAGTACATGCAGTACAAATACTGCAAATACTGCAGGAGAGTACATTGTCGAGGTTTGTGTTTTATGTGAGTATTTCTATTTGAAGTTGATTGACAGCTCAGGGGGAGAATGAACTACTTTTTATGTTTTTAACAGAAAATGTTTCTTTCAAAAACATCAGCACAATAAAAAAGACAGAAGTATTCTTATCAAGTACACTAGAGGTTTATACAACTTTAAAAAAGACATCTTAGGTTGATTTCACATGTAAGTTACCAACTGTGTTAATGAAACACTAAGTTGACCCAGGGAATAATGGATCTTCATGAAAAACCAGGTTCATTCAGGTACAGACGTATGTGTGTGTGTGTGTGTGTGTGTGTGTGTGTGTGTGTTTGTGTGTGTGTGTGTGTGTAATGTGGTGCAGCTTGATTGAACTGAAGGGGCTGTCGGCCATGACGGAGGTTTGAGTCCCACTGAAAGACATTCAGGTCCAGCAGCTGTATTTTGTAGTTACTGAACACTGAAGACAATTTAAATGAAACACTGGTTATTTGTATGTTGATGTGAATAAAATAAATAAGGAACCACAACTTGTGTTGACTGACTTATAAATGAAGCAGTGCTGTATAGAGAGATAGACTGTATATCTGCTAGATGGTTTGAATGCAATTGTAAAAAATAACAATGATTAAATTAAGTGTAGGTATTTAAGAGGAGATTAAACAGGGATGTGAATTACTATGTTTATCTGTTTGTTGCACGTAGGGTCCAGATGCTTGGATGTGTGGACGTCTAATTAAAGGTCCATAAGGTCAGTCCTCAGAGGACCCCGAACATTTTTGCACAGCTGTGTGAAAATGAAGTCTCCACTTTGTGCAACTTAACCTGCGTGGCTCCGTTATCTGCCAAGCTCATTCACTGGTGTCACAGATCAGTGTGATTGTGCAACTTCAGCCAGACACAATACTATGGAAAGCGTACTGAGGTCTCGTGTGTGTGTAACCTCTTCCTCTACACACACACACACACACACACACACACACACACACACAGACATGAGGTCAACCTCTGCTTTGCCCTTTTGAACATACAGTTACTTATAGGAGCTGCTACCGGCTATGAATCTGTCTCTTTGCAGACTTCTGATGGACTGTTCACATTTCTCTCGTCCAGTTAACCAACAGAAACATTTTGAACTTAATTCCAACTTGTGTAACTGATTGTTAAACTCTTATAACATGTGCGTTTGTGGGTTTGCCACAGTTTTAGTTGCCTTTTACTGACGCGACCATCTGTATCTGTGATGTTTAAATTAAACAAAATTCACTTATATATTCCTCTAAAAATAATTATTTCCTCCACCAAAGAGGTTATGTTTTCATTTTTGATAACTCAGAAAACTACTGATCTGATTTCCATGAGGTTTTGTGGGCTGGGGCGGATCATGACTCGAGTGGATCTGGATTCAGGGCGGATGCATGGAGTTATAGGGAGTTAGCCTTCACAGAGGTGAACGCTCTCAGACAAACTTCTAGTCTTCAAGGATACTACAACTATCCAGCACTATAAACTGAACACATTATTTGAACCCTATATTTATTCAGCATTTATAAGTGGTACACTTAGCTTATGACCATACATTAGTTGGAAGCAGATATAAGAACATTCATTTGTGTTGATTATTGTATTTGTTTAATTCCAATTGAAAAATATATCTGAGTGTCACATACAGTGGATGTCTGTGATCATGTTTTAAAAATGATAAGTCAAATAAACAGTAGGCAAGGCATTCAATAATTATAAGTACTTTGTCTTACAAGTGACATGAAATAAAATTTGGCAGGATAGATTAGTCCTGTCAGTTCAGCCACTTCCTGTGATCAGAGAGGGGAGAACGTTTGACTGAGGCAACAACTACAAGCGTCGGAGAGAGAGAAATAAAAAGACAGTGTACCGACAGAAGGAGAGAGAGAGAGACATGGACGCAGTGAGGACAGGTGTGTTTCTGCTGCTCCTGGTGCCTGTTTCCTGCAGAGGTGAGTGAGACAAAATCATATTTTCCTAAATGGTATCATTGAGTTTAAATGTGAAATGTATATAAATGTGAAGAAGTATCAGCTGGTAAGTGGAACCTCAATCCTCTATTAAAACAGCAAAACTAAATTCCAGAAACTCTTGTTTTCTTCTCTAACACAGGCTTGTGTTACAGAGTCTCCTTTACGCAGCCCCGTCAAATTCCTTTAAATCTGTGGTTCACTCACTTTTTGCTGAAATAATTTCTGTATGGACGAATCACATACGGTTTTAAAAAAGAAAGCCTTTCATGGTGTTTGCTGCAGACAGCCGCCTTTTATAGTTTGAAAAGAGCTACTTCCGGTTTTGCTAAAAGTTGGGGTTAGGAAATATAGTTAATTAAAACATGCACATTTTCTATTCGATAATATAAAAGTCATTATCTTCGCTACATGTGAAACACAGGAAACAAATTGAGTTACTGTCCAATGACGGCACAGAGTAAAATAAAAATAATATTTATTGCTCTTAAATTTTATATTGGGCAGAGAGATTTTATTTCTCACACCCTATTATGAAATGAATCTATAATTCCCGAGCAGTGTCAAAATAGAATATGAAATAATGTTCTCCTCTTCCATCCTTTGGGTTTGTGTTGAGAGAAGTTTGAGCAGAAGTTTGCGAACATTTGATGTTTCCCAGACTTTCTCTTTTATGCCACATTTATGGAGAGAGAGAAAATATATTCTCCAAGTGATGAAAACCATTTTCAAATCCTGACATGCATTTGAGCCGCATTCATCACGATGAAGGGTTTACAAGAAAGTGTGCATAAATAAATAATCTCCCTCCAGACACTGTGAGTGAAAGCATTAAAAGTCATTCTCCAGTGTTCCGTTTCCACAGCGAAAACATTAATTAATCAAATTAACCATTGAACTTTATTTATTAATGAATTCACATTTGAAACCTTTTGACCCTTTCTTACTCGATTGATTCAAACCAACAGACTGATCGAGGTCTATCTCGTTTTTTTGAATAAATCAAATTCAAAATTCATCTTTATTATATTATATACAGGAAAATGTGTGCCTGTCTCACAATTTAAGAAAAAAAACCTGGATCCACCGTCTTCATCTTGGTCTGTACCCCACACTTCCACCAAGTTTCAATAAAATCTGCTCTGTAGTTTTTGCATAATCCTGCTAACAGATAAACAGAAATTAAAATAACACAACCCCCTTAATATAAAAACACAATCTCCACAATAAGCAGTGTCTTTAAAACCCCTGTTTCCCCTTGAAATAGCTTTAAAGGTGAAAAAACCAGTGTATTCTCTTGTTCTGGATATTCATTGTGTTTAATCTTGTGCTGTATTTCTAAATCGAACAATCTAAAAATAAACTAGCACTAGATGACGTGTTGAGATGATCGAGATAGGACTTAGTGAACCATTGGCTATGTTCTCACAGCATCTGTTTTTTTCTTTCCAACCGCACAGTCACAGAAAAGAGCCTGTACCTAAACCTCAGAGCATCCCATCACACTAACAGGAAGACGTGTACTGACGCTCAGATAACTTGTTTCCTGTTTCAGAGGTCTTTCTCAGTCCTCACATGTACCTCACTATGTCAATAT